CTCCTTGCACTGGCCGTTGGGGCAAACAAGAGGTGAGGAACTGACATGTCATCTTCTGTGTGATTAATTGATAAACAATTCACGTATATTCAATAATACACCCCCCCCCACGTATTTCTTATCTTTTCTTTCTTTTTTCTTTTCTTTATATTTGTATGTATATATTTTATTTATATATATATGTATGTTTATACACATATATATAATTTTCAGCTCTTTCTATATATTTATATTCCATGCTCTTTCAACCATCGTTCTATTCCATCTGTCGAATCCCATATTCTTTTAACGTTTTTTAGTTCTATCATTGGTTTTCAATGTTACTTGATAACGGGCTTTGCTCGATATGAAGATGAGGATTTAATCTTCATATTGAGCAGTTTTTCATCCTTTTTAAAGAATATGTCACCATTAAGGTTTTCATAATTTAATAACGGGGTTTGCTCATTATGAAGATTTAATCAATTTAAAGATAGTCATAATTGCAAACATAAGTAAGAGATATAACAGGTTAACATAACAAGGGGGTAGTAAGGAAAGCCGCCTTTAGCTTTTACCATTCCCTCCTTTATGTGCGTTTAACATCTCATGTGACAAGATATTTTGCGCCAGTTAGCAATCACGTCAGAATCCTAATCGGCAGAAATGAAAACAGGCGAAAGAAATAACTTTGCGATGTTACAAACCTTCTTTGTCATTTAATAATTGACAGATTTGAATTGAAACAGAAACGTCAAGCTGTATATCATCAAACGTTTTGGTGCATATTTTGATCTAGGTGAGTTGCTACAAATGCTTGCGATAGAAATTTGGCCTAGTAAATGAAAAAAACCAAGCTGATCAATCGCCAAAAAGGGACTTTCGAATGAAATTGTTGGAGTCGATTTCTTGGATAAATGATTTCGTTCACCTTAGGGTATTTCCAGATAAAGCCATAGTATTTCTTTACCGCTGCAAGTCTTGCTGAAATCGGTCGATACATGGGAAAAATTAACAATTCGTTATCATTTTACTTGCAATATTTATCGACAGCTTTTAAAAGCTTAATTGACAAGTAAATGGGGATACACAAAGGTCTACTTTAAAGTTGTAAGGTTAAAAGGGTTAAGAGATGAGATGCCGGCAAAATACTAATGTGTTACCGATTATATCGAGAAAAAAGCAAAATGAAGCTCACAGTTTGTGTCCCTGTCCTATATAACTTTGCTGGTAGCAACCATCAACAGGGTGTGTTTTGCGACACAAAGCAAAGCACGTGCAAACATACCCCATCAACATTATTCTAATTTTAGTGATAAGCAATAATTTAGCATTAAACCTACGAATGATGACAAGTTCGGTAAAGAACTTGTAAAAAGCTTTGAAGGGATGAATTAGTCCATTTACATATAGTTCGTTATATTCCATTTTGATTTTTCTACAAGTCACATTCAAATCTGTACCTTCTCCAACTATTTTCTATAAAAAGGCCGCCATTATTTGCTGAAAAATCGAACTGGAAGATGTAACCTGTGCTCCAGACCCCATACTTTCAAGTAAGGGATCTGGGGCAACGGCTAGAAAGATGACGGTAGCAGCAATGTTCTTCGACAAATCAATGACCCAACCCACATGGGACAATTTCTTCTTCTTTGTCTTCTTCTTCGAATCATAATTAAACAGTCTGCAGCCCTCCCAGCCCATTTGTTTCCTTCGCCTATGCCTATGTGAAAAAACGTAACAGTGAACTTTCCTTGCTTTTTTCAATCGATGTTTGAAATGAAATCGAGACCAAAATAATGGGCCAACGCAAAAGAATCGCTAGTGTGCGGGCAGAAACATACAGTGGCCAGCGGCAAAACTCGCCCTCTACCGTTAATGTGTGCCTTAGGCCGGACCCTGAGGCACACAACCAAATAGAGGCCCCAATAAGTTTTATATGGTGTCAAAGGGTTTTCTCTTAAACGAGTTTCTTATAGGAAAGGGCCAAAAGAAAGGAAATATTTGAAATTTTTACAACAGTTAGAAAGAGTGCGATGTCCGATCTAAGTAAAAAATTGGATGAAACAGATTTAAAATGCTCATTCAAGACGCACAAAAAGCTAGGCCAGAAAGTATTATTATTATTATCTTAATAATTCTTTAATTGACTATTTAATAGCTAATAAAAAAGTTAACTTAGGCCAACTATTTACAGGGCTCTTTTACACATACAATATATAAATAATATACACCCAAGCCTATATATGAAAGTTTTAAAGATCCCCCAATTTTAATGCTTACATTTTGTTGACTTCAGGTGTTTTTTTTAAAACTGGGAACGAGATTGAAGCTCTTATTTCTGTTGGTAATTTTGCCCATATCCTTTTGGCTTTGGCCCGTGAACCTTGCTGTATCTCTTCCATAATATGTCGTTCTTGATTTTGGTAGATTTCGATTGCTCGTGCATCTTAGCTGATAAGGAACGTGTCTTTTACATCAGGGAAGTATCTACAACAGGGGGCGGAGGATATAGGCCGGGGCCACCAAAAATTTAAACTGCTTCACATTGGGAAACAAAAAATATTTGCAAATTTTTGATGGGCCACAAAATTTTTTTGAGCAAATCCAACAATAATACTGCTTTGTACTTTGCCTCGCAGCACACCACATGCTTCGCAGCGACTGCACCGCCACGCCTTACTTGTGTTGCTCAGCATTTTATTTTAATGGTTGCTACCAACAAAGTTAGACATGATATATATTTTGAAGCTCATTTTGCTTGTTTTCTCCGTTCACATTTTTCAATTAACTTAGTAACACATTTTCTCGGCATTATATCAATCCTATTAACCTCGCAGATTTTAAATAGACCTTCGCATATCATTTATTTGTCCCTTGAGCCATTCATAATGTTGCACAATTATGTATTTAGATTCTAACACAATCAAACCCCGTTTGCACTGTGCTGGATAAATTTTTTTCCCATAAAACTTGTTCGGATTGATTGCGTTTACACTGTGCCGCACAAATTTTGTCTACTTTGCCCTCCCGTTTACACTGTGCCGGATAACTGCAGTCACATGACCGAAATTATGCACAGAACGCCCAAAATGAAGTTATCTTTGGGCAACAGAATAATAACAAAATTCCCGCCAATGTAAAAAGATTTCATTCTCTCTTCAGAATCATCTGCTTCTCTTTTAGACCAAATCAAAAAATATTCTCAATACAAATTAGGCCTAGTTTGTTTTAATAGTTTTTTTAAACAAAATGACACTGAACTAGCAACGAAAGTAGGAAAAGCTGACAAGGATGCCAATATTACGTGGACTGGCTTTTATCGACAACAACACGAGCATTTATCGACAACAAGGCAGCCAAGATGGCGAAAGTTCTTGATTGGGAGACAGTGAAAACTAAATTGGATGAAATAGCCAATCGCTTTCGAGCAAGATACGATGTGAATAAAATTTATCCGGATAAAAGCATTTACACTGTACCACATAGCTATCCGAATTAATCTAATCCACTTTTCTAGGTGAACTAATTTTGTTCGGATAGCCGCTCTCTAATTCGTGCGGATAGCGTGGGTCTAGTTTAAACGCGACGTTTTTCTTAACCGTCGTTTCTAAAAGACTGAACACTCGAAGAACAGACTGAACACCCCAAGAACACCCCAAGAACACCCCAAGAACACCCCAAGAACACCCCAAGAACACCCTAGGAACACTCTAGGAACACCCTAAGAACACCCCAAGAACAAGCTATTAAGCGGCGCGCAAAACATCACACTTTTGGCGCGCAAAACATCAGTTGGTTGTAACAACACCAACAGCACTAGACTTATCAGGATTTTCCTGCCCCAAAATTAATTTTGATTGATCGACCAAATTATTTTTCGAATGATATGCCGATTTTTTGATGTATCTTAAAGGGCGTTCAATCGCCTAATAGCTTGTTCTTAGCGTGTTCTTAGGGTGTTCTTGGGGTGTTCTTGGGGTGTTCTTGGGGTGTTCAGCCTGTTCTTGAAGTGTTCAGTCTTTTAGAATCGACGCTAATGAACTAATTTTGATGCTGATAAAATTTATCCGGCACAGTGTAAACGGGGTCTTAGTTCAGTTTGTGTAATGAGAATGCCTGTGAATGGTTCTCCGGTTAGTTTGAAAAATACGATTTACTTGTAAAAGCATTTCGTGGATACATATCTAGTTGTTCCGAGAAATTTGTCGTTGTTCTTTCGTTTGATTCTGGAAATAAGTCCTTAGACCGCTGAACATATTACACAACTATAAGTTTTAGAATTTTATGATGCTGTCAAATTGTTATAAACAGTCAGAATCTGAAGAGGCACTTTCCCAACTGCTTGAACTTTCCTTGGGTGCCACCATTTTTCTCTGAAAGCAAAAAAATCATGTTTACTTTTGTCCTTTTCCTCTTCTGCCTTCTTCCTTTCCATATGCAAAACTGATCCACTTGCTTTCAGACTTGTGCGAAATTGCTATATATGCTGGTGGCTCAAGTTCATCACTACAGATAGTAGATAAGGAAGACAACGATATATGGTTCAGGCTCTTATTCTAATTCCAATAGAGGACTGTATAATTCCGTAGATTCTAACTTAGGTCTTCTCTAATCAACTTCAACTCAAATCTCTCCGAACGCATACTTCACGTGTACATTAAAAGACAACAACAGCAACAACTACTGTAGTACGTCATACCATACAATTTCTTACACTCCCCCTTGCAAGTGTAACGCGCTTGCAATAATACAAGAAATTCTATTCCTAGTTAGTTCAATGTCAATATAATAATTAGTTCATAATCTTTAAGTGTTCTTCTAATTGATAGCTCATCATCTTCTTTTTTGGTTTTTCTGTTATTTGATTTTTTTTGTGTGTTTTTGGTTTGAATATACCGAGCATTTTCAGCATCTCCTTTAGCAATGAACAATAGATTATAGATATATATATATACAATTAATGAAACGACATCAGGTTCATGCTCCTGGTAGCCAACGATGATATAAGATATATACAATTACAGCTCATCCCTGAGTCTGCGAATAACGTCAGCGTCTAATGCCGCAATTCGTTTGGTTCTCTTTGGTTGTTCGATATTTTGAGTGATATTCTCTTCGACGATTGAATTATTTTGCTCAAGCTCTATCGGTTCCCGATCTGCAATTTCAACTGGAAATAGCTTGTTTATAGGTCGATTTATAAGCGAAACGTGTCCAGAAGGTGTAACTACTTTAACTGTAGCTCCGCGAATTTGTTTATCCTTACTTTCAATGATATGCTCGATTTTTCCCAATCTCCAAGAGCCTCGCGGTATTTTTTCTTCGTAAATCGTAACAACATCTCCGACCTTAACGAGTGGTTCTCCACGATTTTCCGACGATAATTTGTGGGCTTCGCGTAACTGTACTAAATACTCCGTTCGCCATCTTTGCCACCAATGGCGTAAGAGCTTCGATATATATTCTTCCCGTTTCGACAATATACTACGCGTAAGATCAATTTCAGTACACTTTAATTCACCAAGGTGTGGTAAAGACTCGATTTTTCGGCCGCAGATTAAGTGTGACGGTGTAAATGCTTGGTCAAATTCGTTTGAACTGAGATGCGTGAGAGGACGATTATTCAAAGTACCTTCTATTTCGACCATAAACGTATATAACTCGTCTGCAGTCAGCTTTGCATTCCGAAGAACCTTTCTGAGACAGCGCTTAACCGATTTTATAAGTCGCTCGTAGATACTTCCGTACCATGGTGCTTTTGACAAGTTAAAAGACCATTCGATGCGCTTTCGTGTTAGAAATTTTCGCAATTCACTAGTTTCAAAAAGTTTGCCAATTAGCGTTTTTGCCTTTTTAAACGTTTTTGCATTGTCGCTTATCAATAATGAAGGTGTGCCCCGGCGAGCTACAAACCGACGCAACGCGAGTAGGAATTGTTCTGTGCTCATGTCCTGCATTAATTCTAAGTGCACTGCACGCGATAAAGTACATGTAAAAATAACTATCCAAACCTTGTGGCAAACTGAGTCTGTAGTTTTAAAACGTATATACAACGGTCCCGCTAAGTCTGTACCGACACTAGTAAAAGCTTCATTTCCATCAACACGAAAATTTGGCAAATGCGGAGGCGCTGGATATCGAAAGTGAAGCGATTCAAATCTTTTACATGTATTACACTGATTCAATAGTTTTCGAATTTTTTGGCGCGCTCTTGTAATCCAAAATTTGCTCCGCAACTGATTCAAAGTGGATTTTAAACCATTATGGAAAACCGCTTCGTGTGCTTCACGAATAATTAATGTTGTAAAATAATGGTTAGATGTTAGAAGCGCAGGAAACTTGGTTTCGTATTGAAGAGCTGAGTTCTTTATGCGTCCACGACATCTAAATATTCCTTCTTCATCTCTAAATAACCCGAGGTCCTTCCTTAATTGGTCAAAATTTTTCTCGCTTTCTAAGTTTTCTTGCGCGGTTTTTACCCATAACTTTTCCGCCCTTTCGATTTCTGCCACACCTAATTCGTCGCGATTAATATTCTCATTTTTTGATTCAAGTTTACATTTTACATTCGAAATGAAACGCAATACATATGCACTTATCCGCAAAAGTCGTTCGAGACTGCTCTACCTTTGTGTGTTTATAATTTCGTTCAAACTAAAATGATTTTCTTGTTTAGCAGTGGTTAAGAGAACACTTTGTTCATTCCTAATTTCTTGAAAACATTCTAGACTTTCTAAATCTTCGTTTACGCATTGTTTGGGGTATCCTTCTTCAGGACCCTGGGTCCAAACTGACCCAGACCACCACAGTTCGTTTTCGCTGAGTTGCGATAATGATTGCCCCCTCGAACCTATATCTGCGGGATTTTCATTAGTTGGGCAATGATTCCATTCAGATGGTTTTGTTAGCTTCAAAATTTCTTTGACTCGATGACTAACGAACTGTTTGTAATTACGATTGTTTTTAATCCATGACAACACAATAGTGCTATCTGACCAGTATGTAACCGAATTAATCGATATTCGACTTTCGAGAGCACGTTTAGTTGTTTCCATTAACCTGGCCAATATTAGCGCGGCCAATAACTCTAGTCGCGGTATTGTTAAATACTTTAATGGTGCAACTCGAGATTTGCTCGTTACTAACTTAATTTCCGAGCCATTGTCATTACGAAGAATGATGTAAATCACGGCACAGTACGCCTTTGTAGAGGCATCGCAAAAACCATGAAGATGGATGTCATTAATGCCTCCACTATTTGCATGAAAATAATTTCGTGGAATGCGAATTTGTATAACCTGTTCAAGATCTGTGATTATTTCCATCCAAACGTGATTTAGGCCCCGTTCACACGGGAACGCAATCGTTCCGTTCCGTTCCCGTGTGAACGCGCAGAACTGGTCCAGAAAATGGAACAATAAGAGTTTTGCCCTTGGCGCATGCGTCTGTGTTGTTGTTGAGGGAAGGAAAAGGTGACAATAATAAACTCAGCGAAGAAAATGGAGGATTTCAAAAACACCATTGGCTGAATCTCGCCGTTAGTCCATTCAAAAGATTCAACACCATTCTGCAAACATTGAAATTCCTTCCTTTTAGGGTTGGCTTCAATTTTCCCACGAGCTTGCTTATTTTGGGGCGCCTTTGTATTCTCCATTTATTCAAATTGTTTAAAAAATTCAGAGATAGCTCAGAGATAAATCGAAATGATGAAATCTATCTCCATTATGGACATGCGCATTAAAATTCATTTGCTTATTTTGGCGCGCAAATTGCAGAACGGAACGATTGCGTTCCCGTCTGAACATAAACAAAAATCGATACGCAATCGTTCCGTTACCGTGTGAACAGTATACCTTTTCGTTCCAGAAACTGGAACAAAAATGGAACGGAGCGATTGCGTTCCCGTGTGAACGGGGCCTTAGATTTTCAGGCAAAGCGTCGTCCCATTTCAAATTGAGCTTACAAATTTCTTGTAAAAGTACCTTTATTCTAACAATGACAGGCGAGACGAATCCGATAGGGTCGAAAACAGATGCTGCAAGTTTCAACAAATTTTTTTTATTTGGCAGCAGTTGTCGACTTAAGTTTACAAAATGCTTAAAGTTCAATAAAATTTGGTCGTTTTCATAGTCCCATTTCATACCAAGCACCTTTGTTTCGGTATTTTGCAACGTTGAATTATCACCTAAAATAGTTCTAGGATATTCTGTTCCTTGACTCTGTTCAATGACCTTTTGTTCGAGTTTTTGATCATTTTCACTTTCAATCAACCTTTGAGTTTCTCGATCACTGCACTGAAATTTATGCAAATTAAACGAACCCTTCGACAAACACAACCTTGCTTCTTTATACAATTCATAAACTTCGGCAGGGGTTTCAGCTCCGAATACTATGTCGTCTACGTAAAGCGACTGTTTCAATTTCTCCCCAACCTTCGGGTTTTTAAACTCGTAATTTGATACATGGTGAGACAATGTAGCTCCTAGTAGAAATGGAGAACAATTGAGGCCGAAAACGACTCGTGTTTACCGGTAAATGACAATTTCAGGGTTTTCAGAGTCGATATTGTTTATCCACAAAAAACGTAAAACATCTCGATCCCCTTTACTGACGCGTATCATGTGAAATGCCTTTTCTACGTCACTAATTAGCGCGACTTTATAACTACGGAATCTCAGCAGAATATCAAGAACGTTAGGCGTCAAACTAGGACCTGTGTGTAAACATTCGTTTAAACTCGGTGATTCAGCATTTATTTTCGCGCTCCCTTCCATCACTACGCGCACCTCAGTTGTCGTGGCATCCTTTCTTACGACTGCGTGATGGCTTAAATAGTGAATTCTGCCAACTTCTGCTGGCTCAAGCAAATTAGGTTTTACTTCTTCAATGATACCACGTTTAAGCTGTTCTTCGATTACATTGTTATATTCTTTCAAAAGCTCAGGCTCTTTACGAAGACGTTTAAGGGTAGAATTTAATCGAGCAACGCTTAATTCGTAGTTGTCAGGCAAAATGTCATGGTGTTCGCGCCACGGCAAAGAAACAGTATAATGGTCTTCATCATATTTCAATTCAGTTATAAACTGTTCTTCGACTGTTTCAATATCGTTTATTCCTAACGTTTCAAGTTCGAAAAGTTCTTCGACCCTTTTAGTAGGCTCCTTTTCAAATTTCGAGATTTCGACGGTTTCTTCAGAAACAATTAAACTGCTACAGTCTACTCTTAAAATATGAATTGTTGCAAGATTAACACTAGATAGCAAATTTCTAGGAATGTCAGAGACAACTCCTGATAATACCCATCCAAAGTTTGTACCGACTGCAACGGGGTCCTCAATAGACTCCCCATTTACAAACTCTCCAGTAAAAACTCTCCAAATTGTGTCACTACCAAGTAACACATCAAAATTCAAGTCGGTTTCATTTTCATTTGGAAAGTCGGCCAAATGTAAATTTTGCAAATGTGGGTACATTTTTTTTGCAAAACGAATTGTTTGTCCTTGAATCGGTGAACAAATAGTAGGAACAACAAGTGCGTTAATTTCAACATTGAAGTTTGAATTTCTACCACTTAAGTCTACTGCTACAACGTCACATGATGTTTCTTTTCCCTCAGTAGAACCGAACACCTTTATTACCATGTTTTCACGTCTTTTAGAAGCCAAATCTAAAGTGTTCCTTGCTTTTTCTGAAATATAAGAACGCTGTGACCCCGAGTCAAGTATTACCCGTAAATTTACCTTACTAGAGGGGTCTTGGGGATTTTTAGCTACGACAAAGGCAGTTTGTAATAAAATTCCCTTTGCAGTACTCTCTTCGGTGTTTACCCCGCAAAATGTACCTGACGACTGAACATTTTCAGGTGTTTGTCTACCAATGTTTGCATTACTGCCCCTTCTAAAACTATTCTCAACTTTACCTTGATAGGTACCAGATTTACCCTTGTCACACAAAGCAACGTGGTGATTGCCTCGGCAATTAAAACATTTGATCGATGCGTCGCAATCCTTTGCAAGATGACCAGCCTTTCGTAAACATAAAAAGCATCTTCCGTTCCTGCGTAGGATGTTTCTTCTCTCTTGAATATTAGTGACAACGTGGCACCCAGCTGTAACATGATTTCCGTGGCAAAATGTACAATGTTGGCTGCTTTGCTTGAATCGAGCTCCACTAAACAATGCTGCTCCAGTTGCATAGTTGTCTTGTGCATGTCTAGACGGCTCTCTCCTTACAGGACTGCATTTTTCTCTCGCCTCGATTTCTTGCTTCAAAATATGTAGCATGTTGGTTAGATCCCAATCTTCATTCTCCAACGTTTCTGACATTTTTCTGCTTATTATAAGCTGAATATCTTCTGGCAATTTTTGTAGCAACACGTTAACTAACACAGTTCCCTATGTCTGTGGATCTACTCCAAGCGACTGAAGGCCTCTGTTGTGTGTTTCAATCAAATCGGAAAATTTCCTAAGCTCCGTCGTATCTGCATGTCTTCTTACTGGATTTACCTTTAAAAGAGTATCAACATGACTGTTAAGAATTATTTGACGTTGTCCAAATCTTCTTCTGAGTATGTCAATGGCAATTCCATAATTATGGTCTGTCAGTTCTAGACCTGCAATTGATTGGCACGCTTCTCCTTCACATTGTGCCTTTAAGTACTCTAGTTTTAAACAGTTACTTAAACTTGGGTTGCTGTCAACGCTTGCTTTAAAGGAATCCCAAAATTCCTGCCATTTGTGGAGTTTTCCGTAATACTTCCTTAGTTGAAGTCTTGGCAGTTTCGTAAAACTCGCTCCCCCATGCGCCGCCGTATTCGCTCCTCCATGTGTTGTTCTGCTTTCGGTTATTTCACGAATTTCCAAGCTTTTCAATTTTTCTTCGATTTCAAGTAAAGTAGTGCGGACATTCTCTCGAAATAATCCTGCATCGTCTATCTCTTTTTCAATTTCCTCCTCGTCGTCAACCAACTCCAAAATTTGGTCATCGATATCTTTAATCGTTTTCAATTTCTCCTCTAACAATAATTTGTTTTGCCTCAAAGACAACACATCGGGAGGTTGAGAATCCAAGCAAATCCTTGTGTTTCCAATTGCTCTTTTTAAATATGCTTTGTGTCCACCACGAACTTTCCTCTTTTTTGTTAAAACCAAGTTAGTCGAACTAGTCTCTGCAGAATAACTTGATCCTGGACTATCTGTAGCCATTCTTCGGCATCCGGCTCGGTGGACCATGTGCGAAATTGCTATATACGCTGGTGGCTCAAGTTCAGTACTACAGATAGTAGATAAAATAGACAACGATATATGGTTCAGGCTCAAATTCTAATTCCAATAGAGGACTGTATAATTCCGTAGATTCTAACTTAGGTCTTCTCTAATCAACTTCAACTCAAATCTCTCCGAACGCATACTTCACGTGTACATTAAAAGACAACAACAGCAACAACTACTGTAGTACGTCATACCATACAATTTCTTACAAGACTTGCTAGGTTGTCCAATAGCCTTTTCGCAAACACTTCTGCTCTCTTGTCGAAATAATTACTTTCCAATGAATTCTTAAGTGCATCAAAGTTAACCTTACTGACAGCTCTGGGGCAAATTCCTTACTGAGGTTCTCTTCTGTCACTTGTACCTTTTTTGCTGCTACTTCATCAAAGTTGGTGTGCGGTGCAACAATCTTGCAAACTGCCTTGCATTGTACAGAGTCTTTTCTCTTTCCTTGTTTCACTCTTCTTGTTTTCTTGTTAATGACTTTTCTCCTGAGAGTATGACATGGGCCACGAAAATCATTTGCCATTTCATAATGGACCATGGAATTTTTCTGTTGCTTTTTATAGGGGCTATGAAATTTTTTTTGGATAAAGCCACATAACCTCCGCCCCGCTGTCGTAGATACTTCATGACACGCCCCCAAGATAAAAATTTTTCTGCTCGCTTCGCTTACAGGGGACCATCGTCTTCACCTCTACTGAATGGTTTACTCCCCTCGTTTTTGGGATTTTATAGAAAAGTCCTTCACGTTGTTTAGAAATTCCCGATAAAATAGAAATTAAAATACTAGAGCGCTTCAATCATTAAACATTTCAGCAATGTTGGGCCAAGATATGATAAAAATTCAGTTATTTGACTCCTTTTCTCAGCTACCAGCAGTACCGATCTGATGAAAACCCAACAAATTATGTCGTATACGTATAGGTAAAATTGCTTCAAAGTGTACATTATCCAGCGAACTGGAATCACTCATATTCGGAAACTTTCCTCCCTTCTGTGGCAGCCATGGTGTCCCCTCGTGTATACCCTGGGTACCAGACTCACTATATAAAATAATAGAGAGTCTGGTCTAGTGCGCCCCATTCTCGTTCTGGTGAAGTTACTTGAAAGAACTGAAGTCTATTTAACAGACTAGGCCTGTGAAACAAGACTGTCAGATAAATAACAAAGAAACTCAGTAGTCAGAGGAGTTTTGGGAAATCTTAAAGCAAATGTGTTTTATTTAGTTCTTTAAAGTCGACTTTTTTAATACAGTGATAATAGACTTTTCTGCCTCAAGATAACAATCAAATCAGGTTTAAAACGCCATTTGGCAGCAAAAAACATGTGCGAAGCATGAAATTAAAGTTAGCACAATGCAGTTATTAAATGTTAATCATTATCAAATTTCGTATACAACTTAAAATAAGTCTTTTGTAATTTTCCTCATAAATTGTGTGACTTTGAACGTCTACTTCCTCACTATGAAGGCAGCGCGCTTGGACACCGCGGCGGTTAGAATCATCACGTTGGAAGGTCACCACAGCAAATATGGCCAATACGACAAGCGAAGCCCCGTATGCCAGGCGAAATATTAGCTATAACTGATTAACTGTGTTTGTTGTTGTTTGTTCTCGGCGCCTTGCGGTGTTTCTTATCTACTACATTTCACTACAAGGCCTAATTTCTTTGCAACGAGAGGCACAGCCTGAAATATCAGAGACTTTCAAAAGCCAGTTGGCAATATGGCGAAGGTGTCTCTTCTCTTTACAAACAAGGCTTTCAATGCTGTTCTGTGTTCAGTACCACAACATGCGGAAAATATTCTTTGAGTACAGTTTTAACTCAATCGTTACGGTCGCTAGCATTTATTTATGTTCTGTTCTGTTCAATGTTTTACACCAGAGCTAAGTTTATTGTTTCGCTGTGACCTTTGAACATACAGAAATCTGTACACTCGCTCCTGATTGGTTAATATCAGCACACCAGAAAGAGAATGGGGCGCACTAGACCAGACTCTCTATTTTATTTCATATATAGTGAGTCTGGTACCCAAGGTACCTCGTGTAGTTAGCCTGTGCTCCAGACCCCTAACTTGAAAGTAGAGGGTCTGTGTAACCGAGAGCAAAATCGTGCACGGGGATTGAATTGAATTTTTTGCATAATTATCACACATCTGTGTAATCATGCAAGAAGAAGCGCTAATATTTTGTTCGGTCGTGGCAGTATGATATAGATTTATTTGTTACAAGAAAAGTTTTGAAAATGTTGCTCTGCTATTTGATGTTGAAGATCTTGATTGGGACAATTCATTGGTTCTGACCAAAACAGATTAAAGATGCTGTGGGCCAATCTTGCTCATTTTGCAGCATTTGATGGGGAGTGAATCTACCTTATGAAGCAATCGAAGTAAAATTGACTTGGCAACCAATCGATTTGCTTTGAGTAGACATTTGATTTTGCTTGGTAGAGGATGTTTGTTTTCTAGTTTGGCTCGAATTTAATGTAAAGAAGGATTTTTTGAGACAAAATCTAGTGGATACGATGACGGAAAACATGACTTTCGGAGTAGCGATAAGAAATGAAACCGAAAAGTAGACAAGGCGCTTTGGCTTCAAGCCTCAGAGAATGATCTCTGGTTATAAACGCAAGTTTACATACAGTAGAAATTGCTAAAGACTAGTAAACATTTATCATTGATCCGGACAAGGCTGCCTAACTGAGTGGACTAATTTTATTAGCAATGTGAGGCAGTAGGCCTAGGCCCATGCCTTGTACTTTTCATAAATTCTTTTCATCATGATAGTGATTGATTTGCTATAAACACGTCTTCTAAGTTCCTTGTTTGAAATCTGAAATTCTGATTTTAAAAATGTTTCTAAACGTTCATTAACACATAAGAGAAGAGTTATCAACAAAAAGCGTGTTTTGATTAAAATTCATCCTCCGGTTTTCGAAGTGTTTCCATCCTCGCGCCGGGCCACAATTATCTAGGCATCATGATATATTCAATGCTTTCAGACATTATTGTGGCATTGTCTGACAAAATAAAGAGAAACTTTGAATTCGCACACATTTCTTGTCACTATTTGAATGCGTAAACTGTCGCAGCAAACAACGCTCTGTTTACGCCATTGCTCACTTTTGTCATGTAAAAGCCGCATAATTTACGCATAATTAATTTTCCCAGAGATCCTGGGAAAAGCTCGTACGCGATATTGCTCTCGGTTACACAGACCCTCTACTTTCAAGTTAGGGGGGTCTGGAACACAGGCTACGTGTAGTAAGTAAATCCTGACATTTTGCTTACCCTGGGTGCCAGAGCCTAAGAGAGTCAAAGGATGAAGAACGGGGAAAAAGAATTGTGCCTTCGCAAGTTTTCAGCTTTCAATAATTTCTTCAATAACTCAAAGAAATTTTTTTTCCCCTGCTTTTACATATAAAATATTCGGACTTTCACACTTGTCGATTGGAAGGCCCGGTCTATGCTTGGGCCCGGGGGCCCTGATATTCAAAAGCCTGCAACTGCTGATAGATGCAGCCTGCTACATTGTGGCCCTTCCCTCAATGACGCATGACAGCGGTCGAAATTGTGGTGGTTGGCCAGGGGCGTAACTTGGCCATTAGTTTTGAGGGGGGGGGGGTGAAAAGGGTTTATGCCCTGCAAAACTGAGTGGTGCCTTGCAGACCTCGTAGCAACGGTTTGTCTATAGGTTACTAGTGAAAGCTTTATCAGTGTACACTTGTCTTTACCAAGGACAAACTTCCAAGCAATAAAAATAAACTTGAAACTTCATTGCCTATGAAATTTCTATTTCTCTACGTGAGCGTTATTTGTTTTTTATATTCATTTCATTTAATGATTGTTTGCAAAATTAAGCTAATAAACAGCTAATTGATTGGGGGGGTACATGATGTAGACAGCGCAACGAAATTTACCCCAGTGGGGCTTAAAGTCGAGTTTAGTGAGATAGGAGGACCCACCATGGTTGGGTCCGAGGTGAAATTTTTTTTGAAATTATACCTTGTAAAAGGGCTAAAAAGCATCTTTCAGACAAAAATTTAGCAAAATTCTATTGTGCTAAAAGAACTGATTGTTTATTGAAAATATTATTGTTTATTGGGAAAAATAGGGAGGGGGATGTCATGCTTAAACTCTACTGTTAGACGTTGGGGAAGGAAAGAAACGGCCACCTTTCGTTTCAGATTGCACGTAGTTGTGAATGACAGAGAAAGATGTTGTTTTGATTGGGGGAATTTTTTTTCCTGAACAGAAATGTGCAATTTCTTTGTATCGAGAAGGCCATGTTTACACATCCAAAATTAAAACATTGCAATGATACAGAAAACGATTTACTGAATTAATGCAAATAAAAGAAAAATAATAAAAATATACGTGAAAAAGTTAGCAATTAGATGAAACAAAATCGGTGTCTTAACGATTTATTATGTTTTTTAGTTCATGCACTGTTAAATAGTAATAGAAAAAATGATAAAAAAGTTGCTATCTTGACCAAAGTGAGGGACTTCAGCTCCTTATTCCCCCCCAGTGACGCCGTGCTCATAAACATATGCATCAATCATTGCACCCATTGGCTATGACTTTCTGTAAGAAATGCTTTCGCTTTGCAAATAACGGAGCTTTTCCTTACATACCTGTTCCATTCTCTAAAATGCAATGTCAGGAAGGGAGGTTCATAACAAATACGATATTTCCATTTCAAAATTCCTAAACGGCTCTTTACGAACTTAAGAGGTGGCATTTCTGCGTGGCAATAAAGCTCTTCTTGGCGCCCTGCAAAATCTTTGATTACCCTGCGAAATCGACTATTTTTTGGATTGGGGGGGGGGGGTCACACCCCCCACACCCCCGGTAGTTTCGCCACTGGTGGTTGGGGGGGGGGGTGCACTGCCTCCTTCTCCAACTGGAATCTGCTGGAAAATATTAGTTTTATTGGAAATTGGCTGATAACTGTCTTTGATCAGGATGCTGTACTTTTATAGCTCCGTTTAATAGTATACTGTATCTCAACCAATTTTGGTCCGATTTTACGAAATATCATGTGTAGGATGACAAAACTGGTCGCGCAAATTCAAACTGATCGATACTGAAAAAGAAACGATTCACGCAAAAATCAAAAGAGTCGCGCAAAAAGAAGAAGGCTGATTTGCAAAAATATTTGCATAAGAATAGCAACTCAAACAAAACCTCGAAAAAATGTCTAGTAAAATGACTATTAAGCTTAAAATAGGGCAAAATACTAGAATGATTTTTTTATGTCAGTCTGAATTCTTTTGAATATAGATTAGAGATATATGTTGGGACCACTATTTCTAGCGGTGCCCCTATCTTAATATTTAATGATAGACGAAGTGTAAGATGAAGATTCAGAGAAAAATCACCATTTTATGTAACTATTTTGTATCAAATCCATCAGTACATATTTTATTTCATATTTCCGCCGATGACCATCCTTACTTCAACTCTACTCCAACCAACTCCTAACTTATTTCGAATTACAACATACATAATCACGTTCACTGAGACTTGTCGATTGATATTTTCCATAAGTTTCTCCTTATAGGGTATTGAGAATCAAAACATGTAATTTACCACTGCTTTAAATAAAATATTAAATCAACATTATAATTAGAGCTCTACATGCTGCCGTGTATCTCGGCACGCATTACAGTCCCCTTTACGAGACTGCTAGGAATTCTATGTTATCTATGATTTATTCAAAATTTCCCAGAATATCATCCCTTGACCTTTGTGATAAGTTTATTTGGTTGATGAGTCAAGAAGATACGGATTGTCTGATATCGATAGCCAATTTTATATCGCTGGCTTTTGAGTCACGGGAATCTTATGGGAAGTCCTCTCCGTGCATATCCTCGTAACGTAAACTTTCTAGCTCGTCATCATTTTTTTCATCTGTTTATCTTTGTATTAGCTGTTTGCTGTTTTCTGAGATTTATTGTTAATTTGTAATTGTGTTAACTTGTAAGTATAGTAATTCTGTTGGCTGTTTTCTGAGATTTATTGTTAATTTGTACTTATGTTCTGAGATTTATTATTAATTTGTAATTATGTCAACTTGTATGTATGGTAATTGTGTTGGCGATGGACCATTTCGGCCTACAAGCCTTAAGCCCTGGCCAAACGAGCCAACATTTCGCCCAACATTTAACCCAACATCTTTCCCAACAATGTTGGGAGTTGTTAGAAACGTTGGCCAAACGACCCAACAATTCACCCAACATTTAGCACAACCGTTTTTGGGATACTCGGATTGAGTCCAAGACAACCTAAGCCTGCCATCCCTGATCTTGAAAGCAACGCTTTTCTTTTCCCCAAACCCCTATTAATCTCCTTTACGGCCTCGTCGTACTAATCTTTACTCACTAAATCTCTTTCTTCGTACTCTTCCATTATCCAATATTCTTCAGTCGTCCAAATCTATTCTACGCTCTTCATCTTAAAATTTTGATCTCTGCTTCACGAACTCGAGCTTGGCGCGCAGCGCTATTCACTTTTAAAAATTGTTTACAGCGCTTGCGTGAAGCCAACAAATGTTGGGCAACCCGGCCAAACGAGCCAACAACGCAAAACAGCACCTTGAACAATAGAGATTATTTCAATTACCATCCAACAGCCGCCAACATTTTTGACCAGTTTCAAATCGATCCAACAATTCAGCCAACATCTTTCCCAACAATGTTGGGTGACCCAACATGGTGGCCAAACGACCCAACATTTGAGCCAACATGCGAAAAAAGCGTGTTGGCTGAAATGTTGGGTGAAATGTTGGCTCGTTTGGCCGGGGCTTTATATAAAAAAATGTAATTCGCTGACACTTGACAGATAGTGATTCAAGTTGACAAGTAATTTCTGATTGGAGAAATAGGTTCCCGCAATTCGGGCAAAACATTAGACAAGAAACCGACCATTTTTGCTAATTGAGTGACTCATTTTGCGCTTGAGTTTAGTGTGAGTCTTGTTTATTTCCGTGTGCTTTATTTCAATGTGAATCAGTTTTAAATTCGCGTGACCTGTTTTGTTTGTATGCGAATCAGTTTAATATAAGTGGGTGGCTGTTATAGAGCACTGTAAACTACTATTGTATTTAGACAATACATTTCCTTTCCTAGTTTTACCCAGTCATTCTAATTTGAACATACTCTTTGCGTCAAGTTGCATCGATCTATTGATTACAATTCATACCTAAAGAAAATAACAACCCACAATTAATTGAATCATTGGATTCATTTAATCTATTAGCCGTTTTTACGGAAGAGTTTCACGGTAGTTTTTTGGTCTGTGACGCAGGCTACTTGTCTCAAAATTTCGGATCTGTTTTGCGGCATTATGGAGACACCCATGCCATTGAAAACATGGAGTCAGGGAGCTTTGGAGACAATGCATGCCATCAAGTAACGCAACTAATTGACGTTAATAGACCTACTTTTAGGGAGCAAATCGACTTATCTTCCATGTTATCTCGATTGTCAACTCTGAATGGTTGGCTAATAAACATTTGAATTTGAACAGCGCGGAGGAATGTGGAATGATGTGAATGAAATCCCATTTCGACTCTGAGTCACGAAATCCCTGATTGTCGACTTAAAAACCTTTATCTACCAAATAGCAGGGAATATTTCGAGATGCACATTATTCTCGGGATTTCTGTGTTGAAAGAGTAATTCTTGGCTCATAAGCGCACCCCATGGACATGTAAAAGTAGACACTGAAATTATGCACGTTTCGTTGCCATGCCCATGGGAAAAAAATATTTACAACACTCGATTTAAAAATCTTTCCTAACGAATTTATAATGAAACATCGATTTGCAGGAAAAACAAGCAGATTCTAACTTACCTTGGAAGCAAAATTATAAAGTATAATAAAATAGAACACGGAGAGTGTCTAGAATAAAATTGGTAAGCCAAATTTCATATAAACAAGGTTTTTCGATGTAAAAAATGCTTAGCAACTACAAAACAATAGTATGCAATAGCCATGAAGGGGCCTGTACTGTATATTTATTTTAGATTAGATTAGAAACCAATTTTTTGAGCATATAAGAACCATACAGAACCTCAAGAAACCTAATTTTAGAATTTTATTAAAATAACCCAACTAATTAAATCAGTTGTTTACCTAATAGTTTAATTCTATATATCAATCTTACTCGTCAGCCAGATTTCCCAAGCTAGGAAAGCTTTCTTCGAAGCAAATTGCTTCTTTCTGAAGGCTAATAAAGGCCCTCGAGCTTACAAAAAAGACGTCTAGTTTTGAAAACAGAAATGATATCAAATATGTCTCGAACTTGAATTTTGTTTTTGTATAATGCATAAGTACTTTTTTTATTTATTATGTGGATTTTGAGTTTCTCCATGACTTCTGGGCCAAAATATTGCCTTACTGTATCCAGAATCGTTTTTACATCATCTCGGTCATCAATATTGTACAATGTGACTCAAAGGACAAATCCTTCCATGAAAATCTAATACACCTTTGGTAGAAATCCCATTGTTTTATCTGAAAGTCTCGTGCTCTAATTGCAAGAGTGAATTGCCCCTCGATGTGACTGGATATCTACCATAAAATTGGAACTCAAGAATCCCCATTTTGGAATCTAAGCTTCTTAAGCTCTTATAAAATTCGATGATATCAATATGTCTTATTTTACATACAATCACTGCCAAAAGTCTTGGAACACTAACGTAGGTTTTCAAAGGCGAATTCAGCCACCCCCCTTTCCCCCTAGGAACAATGTCGATTTACTATAGAAAAAAAGGGGTTATGGAGTATGCTTTTTCTTGTGGCTTGTTTGATATTTTTCTTTACTTTCAACATTGTTTTAGGGGGAAAGGGGGGCGGAAGTAGTAGTATTCGGGAAAAACAAATGAAAAATAGAAAAGCACGACGCAAAGTGTTTGGTGTTCCAAGTAATTTTGGCAGTGATTGTACATGACCCGTTCCTAGTTAGGCAAATATTGCATCTAAGCAAGTTGAAGGTTTGAATCGAAGTGAAGTGCATGTTTGCAAGCTTGAAGGTGTAGCTTTTCCAAAACGGACAATTCATTTTGACCCCGACCTCGACTGGAATACACTCTTTCAGTTTCATTTTAAGAACCAGTAAATTTAAGTTCATGCTGACTGTTCTTAATTTTTTCGAAAATATGAGGCTGGATTGTTCTTAATTTGTTCTTAAACTAATAGGGTGTAAGCATAGGCGTACGGGGTGATTTCAGGAAGGGGGGGCAGAATTTTTTTTCCCGAAAAATGACAACGCCCAAAAATTTTAGGAGTATACTTTAACAGATGTGAGCTTCTAATATTAGTCAATAAATGATTAAAATGCAACGTAATTTAAATAATGTTAACTAATAAGCATTTTTAAAACTTCACACATCTTCATTTAAAATAAACGAATCTCTTCCATGACAGCGACCAAATATGTCGATTATTTTGTCGATATATTTTGTGAAAATGATGCAAATAATGTATACCTGCCTATTCTTGTTTTTATTGAACAATTTGTGTTCCATTTCTAGGGGGTCAGAAACTCATAATCTATTTTTAGAAGGTGCTAACCTTTATGATGATTTCTGTCGAAGGGTTAGCATTCACGCTTGCGTAACACAGTTTAGAGCACCTTGATTCAGCTTTTTTCAACCTTTCTATCCACGACACATTATTTGCGGATAGTTTTTCAATTCTATGGACCAATTAGGTGAAATTAGAGAATTTTCCACGGCACACTAGGTAATACCTCAAGGCACGCTAGTATGTCGTGACAGTGGATGAAAACATCCAAGGGCCCCCGACCAAAAGGGGTCTTCAAGGTGCTTTTACGTCCAGATCTTTAAAGCTTTGCTCAAGTTTAAATAACTTTTGAAAACTTTGAAAAGTTCCTCAACTGAAACTCTAAAAGTCAGTTCTCCCTAACTGACGAGAAAATAATTATCATTTTTATCTTTTTCTATTGCGTTTGACATGCTCTACACCATTTAATGTGATATTGCTGTCCGTGAATAGAAGTCTCGTAGCAGTTTTTGCTTAGGGCCTAGATGCTTTTATTACACCAAAGAACATACAAAGTTATATTCACTATCACTAAATCGCGCATAGATTTTTTCCAAAACTTTACCCATTTGTAGAAACAATTGAACAGAGCTATGCTTTCTAGATGGGTTTTGGGGTCTTTATCCTTGCAAAGAAAATAAGTGTCCTGTCCACTGCCTTTACTGACTCGCACTGGCAAGCTCAGTGTGTTGCACTTTGTCCATTTTACTTAGATGATGGTTCATGTTCAACTTTTCTCTTGAAATTACATGTATTTTGGTGTTAGCCTCAATGAAATTGTAGAGACCTTGAGCAATAAAGTCCATTTCTCATTGACTCACTTTCTGCAAGATTAAATTAATGGCCAAGGCAGTGGACATAGATGCTCAGCGGAGAACAGTCCTCCATTCGCATTGCCAAACCCTCAGCTTTGCCGCTCATTTTAGACCGTCGAAGCATTTGCCAACAAGTTTCTACATACGCTTTTAAGCCGAGTTTGTACAGTTGCTGAAGACCGAGCTTTCTTTTCTGATACCATTCAGTGCAAAAATGACACAAACTAACATTAATTCGGGCTGACGAAAGTAAGATGTTTAATCAATTATGAGAGCATAATAGCCGCTTTCTTTTACTTCTTTGACAATCTTCTCAAGCTCTAATTGGGCTGTTGCTGTTCTTTTCCCTTTTTTTGTTTTTTTCACCCCATAAATTTTTACCATATTCCAATACTTCTGAAAGCGTTCACGATTACGACCACTTGTTTTTTTCATCTCAGATATTTTTAGCACGTTCAAAATTTAGTTTTTCTTATACTTTTTGCTTTTGGAGAAGGCTCCTGCCCGAATTTTGCCCGAAAAATCTTGTTTTGAGATAAAACGTTGTTCAAAATTGCATTTTACAGTAGCTCAGCCTTAGCTCAGCTCATTCTGACTTTAAAACCGTCCCTATCTTTAAGTGCAAGATACGATTTAGTTGAGGGTAGAAATGAAAAATACAGCTAAGGAGAAGATAGGGAGAGAAGAAGTTGGTACATACAGGTGGAAACTCGAGGGCGGGTTGTTATGCGTCACATAGAACTTGTTTGCAAAACAATTGGTAATCAAGTGAAGTGATTAGTCTTCTATTCTTGTTCCTTTCAATCTTTTATCAATTACGGAATTCAGCACATTTTTTGCTCACAATGCCGCCCAGCCATTGATTCTTGACGTCATTGCTGAAGTTTATTTCATAAAAAACAATTTGTTTTTTACCTTCTCTTTTCAATTTATTGCTAAGAGAATCCACGATTGTGTCACTATTCTTTAGTTTCTCTGACATTTCTATTATACATATTGATATTTTCATCCCTCATTGCGAAGGGGGCACATTTGCCTGCTCACTGTTTGCATGTATCTCTATGTATGTGACTTTCAAACAAATATATGTTTCCACTGCTAACTTTTCGAGAACTCTTTGATTCTTACTTTGAAAAACGCTTGTGACTCAGAAATTCATGATTTCCTGTGATTTTGCGACTCCCGGTGGTTTTTGAGTGTGATTCATTGTGATTTTGATGATAAGTGAAAGAAAAATCCTGCGATTTGGCTCTTACAAACACCATAAGAATGAACCTTTTTGTGAAGGTACAAACTTCCATTTTTCCTTTTTCCTTTCATTTTACGATTTTTTATATTTGTAAGAAACTTTCTATGCGAAACTCAGTACTGGCATTGCTGGCTAATAGTCTTTCAGCAATGGTTGAAAAGTTTTAAGATAACTACATTTTGCAATCACCAGCAAACCTATATTGTGGAAGAAATCATGCCCTGTACTATGTGAAAAAAGTATTAAAAGTGGCAATACAAACTTAGCCGGTATATCAAGGTGCTTGGTCGGATGCTATTTTATTGATTTGCAATTAATCATCAACAACAAACTGGTTTAGCTTGTTTTTTTAAAAAAATGGGAATCTTAAGAATAAAAGATGAAAGGAAAGGAAAAAATTTCTTTTTAAGGCAATTACGACAATATCATTGATTGGCAAAACAAAAGCTCCAATGAGTTTTTTGTGGTGAAACAAAGCTCTGAGATCTTAGTTTTCTTTCTGGCTATAGAAATCGATTAAGGCCTAATGCCTATTTAAAAAGACACCCACCTTCTATTGTCGAGCCGAGCTATAAGTAAGAGAGGAAACTCTACAGCTTTCAAGTTTTGGCTCGTTTCTTGCTCTGTTGCTGTCAGCTTTGGGAATTGAGTGAACATCTCCATACAGTTGTAGAACTGAAGGTAAAAGTAGCCATTGTATGTTTTTATTTTGTTCTTTATAAGTTCAAAAAATATTAACACAAATTTTTGCCTCATGTTGTAGTACTTGTCTTGTTAAAACTGTCTGTAAAACATTTTTCGTTCAATTTTCTGTTTTCAGCATCTACTGAAAATTGCATAATTTTTGTAGAATTCTAAAGTGAATGTTTCATCTTCATTTACCGTAGCTATTTGCAACATTGCCAACATGAAAACTCTTAGCCTTCTCCTGTTCCTGGCAATTGGAATTTTGGCCGTTTACGGAGAAACAGTTGAAAATGATCCAATTGATGACTTTGATTCAGATCCAGAAGCTTTGGACGAAGATGCATTGGAAGATTCTGAAAATGACGCAGTGGAAGAAAACGGTTTGTTCCGTCTTCGTAAATTTGTTCTACAAGTTGTAACCCGGTCTTTTGTCTCTTCTAAAACGTGGAGCATTCCCACTGAAACCTGGTCTAAGGTCAATTAGCTGTAATTTCACTTTTCATTGTCTTGTCTTTCTGGCTGGAATTTTTCTGCGTTTACTTTTACTTTCTGTGTTTTTACTCAAGAAGTTTAAGCGACATCTGATATCGTATTGTGAATAGAAAAACAAACACGAAATCTGAATTACATCATTTAAACTTAAGGGCATATCACTACACGAAGATATCTTATGAATTTGCCAAGGTCCTTTTGATTTCGAGAAAATTCGTCAAAAAATCCTTAGATGTTTTACGGTTCTAAAAAATCTCGTACGCTTTTTGGAAAGAGTGACAGGCCCCTCGACTTAACCTAGAGTTTTCCATTTTCAGAACTATAAAGACTAAAAGTTTTCTGCAAATTAATTCTTGATTTCTTCGTTCTAGCTGAAGCTGACCCTTTGAATCCTATATCGTTCTACTGTAAATATTGCCGCACATGCAGTATCTACAGGAGACACTGTAGCCGCAATCGTTGCCATAGCTGGACCAAACATACGATGAATCACTCCTGTCGCCTTTGCAAGTACTGTAATCCTCGTTATTACGCCAACCTGCTCAAGCAGCATCAGAGAAGAATCGTCAGAAGTGTCAAAAGAATTTTCAGAAGATGGGGCTAGCCCGTGTATTTGAATAATTCCATCGGACAATTTCAAAACTTCTTTTCTGCACATTTTATACTGTTTACATCTAAAGTGTTATTTTTGCAAATAATCCGTTGTCTTTTCTGTTCAAGTTCTTCCTGAAGGGGAATTTTAATTCACAATCAATGCATTCTCGGAAATGGGTCAACCGATTTATTGCGTTCTTTTTGAAAAACATTTGCTTGCTTATTAGGAATAAATTTCACGTCTTTTTATAACATGTATTTATAAATAAACAGATGTCAACCATGATGATCTAAAAGAAGTCACAATCATTTAGTTAGCATCTAGCTACTAGTCATCTTGGCCTCTTTCTAGAGAAATTCAGTTTGACTACTAATACGAAATGGTATTCAGAAAAGAGCGTACAATGAATGAAGTGGAGGGGTACAGGAGGAAAGCTATATTCAAAGTGAGGCTGGGTTAATAGAATATCAATTCGGAGCGTACTTTTTTTTTAATTATCCGGAAAGAACATGGCAGTATGAACACTACCGAAGAATTAAGATTATATGAAACCTATTTTTAAGCTGTTTTCACTTACTTCATTGAAATCACAAAACTTGAAATTCGTAATGGCTAAAGTCGAAACACATATTTATATCGACTTCGATGCTCTCTGAAAAGCGATAGAAACATTTTTTAAGATTGTCTAGATGGGTCGTAATCGAAACTGTCAATTTGAAAGTTGATAATTTCTAAAGAAATCATCTGAATCTGTGCTGAGGTTTTTCAATTCAGAATAACAAGTTAGATAGTTCCCTACATACAGACATCCAAGGATACAGTGCCACCAAGAGCATCGCGTATGCTTGTGTTGGTTAGCATTGGCTTCAGACCTCAGCTGATCAGACATGTTTGTAATTGTAAACCCATTAACTTGTCAAAAATAAAATGTATGTTTGAGACAATCTCGTTCTGGACGGACATACATCTAAGCATCATGATATATTGAAGGGCTTTAGGGCATCAAGGCAGGGGCGGACCTAGAACTAATCCTGATAGCGGTGTCAGAATCTATCAGCTAAAATATTTCAAGATTGTCCTATTCTTTCAGCTTTTTTTAGAGACATTACCCTCCCTGGCCTCCATCGTTTTTTCCTAATAATATTGTCAAATCTCTATATCAGAACGGGCAAAGGATATAGTTACTACCCGAGGCGGCACCATGGTTGCCGCCGAAGGAGCAGAATAATTTTCAAATTTTGATGCTTCTAGTTCCCTGGAAAATGCACTCTTTTAAGCACATTTCACTAAAGCAATCCTCCTAATCCTATTGAAATAATATTTTTGCAAACAAATTGAACAGCAGATAAAAACAACTGGTACAATTTTGCCGTGGTCTTGAGAAATACCATGTTGTCAGTTTGCACTGGTTGATATACTATGAGCAGCACTGGTTGCCAATTTAGATCCCTCTTTCCATCTTAGCATGCCTTTCGAATGTTAAAAAAATCTGGAGCTCATAGTAAATTGCAGCTGACGCTTCTACCGAGAAACTTTAGGGGAAATGGACACAAGACACAATTTTACCAAAAAATGGTCTGGATTTTTAGATGTAGTGCCAACAAGAAATCTTCAAATCTTCAAATCATTAGTTTGTTTACCTTCATTCATATCAAGGAATATCATATTTAACAAACGGAGCAACTACCTGTCATAACCTGCACTTTGAGGTTAACGCAAGAGAGAAATCACTTCGCAAACATAACATAACATAACATCCAAACATCATACAGCGAATAGTAATCTTTTTCATAAGACAATAGGCTTGCTAAATAAAGTATTTGCTCCATAGGGAGTCCATAGCGTAAAACTATTTACAAGGATATGACATCACTTCCCCTTTTAAAAATCAGCGAATAAATCTTGATGGTATCGGATCACCATATCTCACCGGCTGACTCCTTACTCTTGTTGATTGACGGCGTGCGTTATTTCCAAGTCTGTGTTCGCGTTCTGCTTGATTTCCTTCTTTGTTCAACTCTTGTTCTATATCACTGTCGAACTCTTCATGCTGATCTACTCTAGCAGGGAATTTCTTGAAATGTGACACATTTCTTGTGATACGTCTTGTTTTGTTCTCTGCGGTAATCATCGTCCCTTTACGTTGGATAACTTTGTATGGGGCTTTATCAAATCTTGATGAGAACTTGTTCTTATACTGTTGTTTCACGAGTACTGTATCTCCTATTGCTATATCACTTTCTTTCGCGTGTCTCTTCTTGTCAATATACATCTTCTGATATTTCTGTGACTTCTCTTCATTTTCTCGAGCGATCTTGTGCTTGTTTATAATACTTTTCCGTTTCAGTATTGGGAACTTTCCACGAACTTGTCTGTTGAACAAAAGTTCGCACGGTGGAACTTTCGTAGTAGAGTGCGGTGTTGTGCGATATTGTAGAAGAAACCTTTGTAATTCTTGCTTCCACACTTTTCCTTCAACAACGGCGGCTTGAATGGTCTTTAGTAGTGGTTGATTGAATTTCTCAACTTCACCATTCGCTTGTGGCCATCTAGGTGTTATCCGATGATGTTTTGATCCTATAGCTAAATTATAGCGGCTGAATTCGTCACTATTAAAAGGAGGTCCGTTGTCCGATATAATAATTTCTGGGATGCCATGTACAGAGAAAATTCGATCCAAGTTAGTAAATAATGTGCTTGATTTTGTAGAGTTGACAATTGCCACTTCCGGGAAATGCGAGTATCGGTCTATTACTACTAGCAAATATTCGCCTGTAGGTAATGGACCACAATAATCCACATGTACTTGTTCCCAGGGTGAACTTGGCATTTCAACTTGTTGAATTGGTGCTGGTGGTGCTGGCTTTCCCACAGCTTGGCATGCTAGGCATGATTCTAACGTTTTTTGAGCTACCTCATCCATTCTGAAGAACCACACTTTTTTTCGTAATAGAGCCTTTGTTTTAGATATGCCTTGGTGACTCTCGTGGGCAATATCGACAGCTCTTTGATGAAGTGCATCTGGAATAATGATTCTTGAGCCACGAAGAATTATATTGTTGCAACCAATGGTAATTTCATCTTTGATTGGCTTGTATTGTTTCACGGTTTCCCAGTGACCAGTACGTATTGCTGCTCGAAGTCCTTTCAAAACTCGATCGGCATTCGTTGCCTCGGATATTTCATCAATGGTCATAGCTTTCGGAACTGCGTTATGTGTGACAAAATTGATGTACATTTCCGTTTCTTCAGCCATAGTACTTTGGTTGGTGTTAGATGCAGGGTGTCTTGATAAATAATCAGCCGGATTGTCTGCACCCGCTTTGTATTGGACAACAAATTGATATGGTTGAAGTCTCAACACCCAACGCTCGATTCTTGCAGATGGCTTCGATGTTGGTGTACCGTAAATAATTTCCAACGGCTTGTGATCTGTTATGAGAGTGAATTCCTTCCCATATAAGTATAAGTGGAAGTGTTCTATTCCCCACACGATACTCAGCGCTTCCTTTTCTGTTTGTGAGTACCGTTTTTCAACATCAGTCAATGCTCTACTAGCATAAGCAATAACTTTGTAATCCTCCGAAGCAGTGCCTTGTGCTAATATTGCAGATATACCAACAGGACTTGCATCCACGGTAACTGTCGTGTTCTTTGACATGTCGAAATAGGCCATTACTGGTGCATTAATTAATGCATCTTGTAGTTTCGTAAAAGCATCTTGGTGTATTTCCGTCCATGCAAATCTAATGTTTTTCTTTGTTAACTCACGCAAAGGAGAAGTTATTGTGGCATAATTACGTATGTATCTAGAGCTGTAGTTTGCCATGCCCAAAAGACTTCTAACTTCTTGAGCATTGGTTGGTGTAGACATATTCTGCAAATCTATAATTCTCTTGGGGTCTGGGCGTGTTCCCTCAGCCGAAAATATCTGACCAAAGAACTCTAATGAAGGCTGGAGGAAACTGCATTTATTTGCATTAAGTGTCAGGCCTTTCTCCTGGAGACGTTTCAGAGAATTGCGAAGTGCGGCATCGTGTTCTTCTCGCGATTTTCCATGTATTATGATATCGTCTGCTATGTTGCACACTCCTTGTATGCCTTGGAGGCTTTGTTGCAATGCATGCTGGAAAATTTCAGCACTAGCATTTATACCATATGCCAACCTTTTATACCTGAAAAGGCCTATGTGCGTACTGAATGTGGTGATATGACGACTCTCTTCAGATAAAGGTAACTGATGATATGCTTGGGCTAAGTCCAATTTCGAAAAGTACTTTGCACCATTCAAATCTAAACTTACGTCATTGACCGTAGGTATTGGGTACCTCACACGATTGATAGCTTGATTCGCCATACGCATATCCACGCAAATACGTACTGAGCCGTCCTTCTTTGGAACTGCTACAATCGGTGATACCCATGGTGTAGGTTGTGTTTCAGGTACTGCTTCAATAATATCTTCCCTCTGAAGCTCCTTCACAGCGTGTTTTACTTTCTTTCGAATGTGAAAGGGAATCCTTCTTTGAGGCTGCGCTTGAGGAATCGCCTCTTTGTCGATGTTCAGCTTCACTGCATCATTTTTCAACTTTCCTAGCCCTGTGAATACTTCTTTGTATTCTCCGATTATCGCTTGGATGGCTCGATCCTTTGTATTGACAGTAAGGCCGTTTGAATCAGTGATTTTATTCAAATTGAACGTGACAATACCCAATTCCAAAGCAGTGTTTCCTGATAATAAGCAACCAGTGTCCTTTTCATGCATGACATAAAACGTCGCTACACAATACCTTGCTTTTGATTCAATCAATGTCTCAAACTTTCCTTTAAAATTAACAGGCGTTTTTGAGTTGAAAGGAAATGCTTTGACTTTTGTTGGTTTTAACTCAATGTTCGTAAGCTTTTCAAAGGTGTTTCGATCCAATACATTTATTGACGCACCAGTATCTACCATCATTGTAACGTATTGTCCTCCGACCTTTGTCTTTATATAACGACATCCTTTCTTTTGTTCCATGGTCTTGTGCTGAATTGCATACATATACTCATCCGAACTTGATTCATTGTCCTTGTCGTTATGGTGCTGTAAAGGCTTCACTTGGT